TGAACTCCTGGGGCTTACTGCAGTCAGGGCTGGCAGCAACGTTGCTTGGGCTTTGCCAGCGGCAGCTGATTGCCCCAACAAGGATCGCTCGGCAGCAAGTTTATCAGTTCTTCAGAGAGAAGTTACCTGCTCCAAGGGAAACAAAAGATAGGCAACGGCTACACGGGTGGCAGGCTGAGCTAGCTGAGAGCAAATCTATCAAGGCAGCAGAAATGGTGCTTCACGTACAGGCTTGGAGGGTGGTGCTGCCTGGTGTTAAAGGGAGCAGCCCAAAACACTATCAAAAAATACCTAGCGAAATAGTCAAAAATCTTTCCTTTAAGACAAGCCAATTAATGCTCTTAAACCAGCCTGTTCCAAAAAAAATCTTCTGATTAGATCACTTATTCAGAACAAGCAGCAAAAGGGTAGAGAGGAAGGAGCAGGTTATAGAGTAACCTAAGCAGTCCCGATGGGCTGGGGAAGGGGACAGGACACAGGCGGCAGCTCACCAAGTCTCCTCGGCTGCTTGTCGACAAGTCTCCTCCGACAGTGCCCTCACAGCAGCACTCGTGCCATGCTCTACTCTCTGACAACACACACCGCTCCCCATTAACGCTACCGGGTGCTACATGTTTGTACCATTCATACAGTCAACTCCCTGGCGCTTATCTGCAAATTTTCTTCGGCTGTTGTTACAGTTTCTCTCCTGAACGCTTTCTGGGCAATGGGATGAGCCCTGTGAGCACAGGGGAGCCTTACAGAGGAGGAATGTAATTAAGAATGCATTTTCTTAAGTTCATGCATTGGATTTTGAGCCGGGGTAAACTCTTACGTCTTCATTAGCTTCTGCTGAGCTTCAATGTTTACACAAGCTGGTGGCATTATAATTTCAAACACTTCTTCAGTCATTTCTACTTATGGCAAAAGCCTGCAGGAAAGCACAATGGAGATGAAGCATGCCATCCGAAAAGGCAAATTCCTTGCATACAGATGAGTCTTCATCTCACAAAAATTTTAAGGGCCTGTGGCTAGGATGCAAAAATTGGAAGCACGACCCTCTGAGGCAGTAGGGCAGATGTCTATTATAAGGATTCACTCTAAGGAAGCAAATCCGTCTTTAAGAAAGCTGATGAAATAAAGACCAAATTTCAGGAATAAAATTTAAGGAAAAAAAAATGATTCCTGTTTTGCTCTGGATATACCACCAGCAGAAGTCAGACTAAGTCCATCAATTCATTTCCTACAGGATCCAAATCCTGGGCACCACCCTAGGTCTTAATTTTGAAAGACAATAAAGTCTTCCCATGTTTGGTGGCTTGCATTAATCCCAAAACCTCCGCAGTCAAGAAGACAGCCAACATCTTGCTTCAACCAATAACCACCCTCCAGGTGACAAACAAGGTTTGTCATTTACCTCTCCTCTTTATGGAAGGGAAAAGACCTACTCCTCCCCCTTTGTCTGCCATGAAACTTGAACAAAGACGAGCTAGATAGAACCCATCTTCCAGGGGTTAATCACACATGATAAGATCACGATCACCTGACAAGATACTGAACACGCTCGAGGCTGTATTTTGGTGGAGAGGGACACATTCAGTCATGCTGGACTGCACCAAAGCATGAGTCAAGGCAGTTCAAGTTGCTAAGGCATCCTCACTGGTTGCTATGGCATGTGTACTGCTATGAATGTTTGGTTCTGGTTTATTATTTTTCAAAGGATTGCTTTGTTTGTGTAATCTATCAGCCATTAGTAATAAGCTCCACTTTTTCCTCCTGCTGCTCGCTCCCTCCTCTGTTCTGAAATGGATGACATTTATCTTTGTTGTCCAGTCTTGGACTGTCCCACACTTCTCTTCCTGCATGTTTTTGTGCTTCTGCAGAGTAGAGGATTTAGAATGGTTGAGGTTAGCCCATGCAGCAATCCATTTGTATTTGTTAAACTTACCACTTTTGTACAGCAAATAGAGTCCTCTTGAGATGTGCAAGTTTGCTATAAAAAGCAAATGCTTTAAAAAGTATAAAATTACATATGATCAGTGCAGTTTTGCTCATAGGTATTTTCAATAAAATGATCATACAGACCACAAAACAGATCTTCTGGATTTCCCTGGAGTGGCATTGAACCCCATTTGAATGCAAGTGGGCTGCCTCCTGCTAAAAGCTGTAATTTTTTTTGAAGTACGAACCTACTCTGAAAAGCAATGGCCTCATGTGGCTCCTTGTTTACTGTGCCTCATTGTTTCCATATTAAAATGGCTCAGCTCAGAAGCAAAACGATCGCCTTTTTAAAAAAAACCAAAACACTAAGACCCCCCCATTTTATCTGTGCACCTCCGACTTGCCTCTGATATGCCTAGATCTGTACAGCTTCCGGCTCTGATGGCTTGTACAGCCTCAGCTGACAGGAGCGGGTAGACACTGCTGCAGATGAGGTACATAAAGAAACTGAGAAGCTCTACTGTTTGTATGAAACAACATAGGATTAAAACAAATTAAAAAATCTAGCCAAACAAACCCAAACAATACTCAAACCCCACAACGCAGGCTAAGCCATGCCAATGAGCCAGCCCTCCTTCACTGATCTACAAGAAGACAAAACCAAACCCAAAGCAAAAAAATCCTACCGTGAATAGCTGTTCCTTTCCTAGTTCCCATTTGTATTCTTACTGATGTCCTACACGTCCCTTCACCTCAGCAGCTCCAGCTCCCCTGCTGCCTGGGGACATGGACCCTTAGTTCAAGCCAGCACAAGGCAGACTGGGGGATTGCTGAGCCTGTCCTGCCATGCCCACCTCTGTGGGGCTCTGCCTGGAGTCCCCCTTCTCCACCCAGCCACTGATTTCTATGAAATTTATGAGAAGAAAATCACCTGGGAAGCCCCCAGTTCTCCATCAGCTATAGCTGAGGCCAGCTGGTGGCTAAATGCTAAACTTGCGGCCAGGGAAGGACACGCGAGGTGGGTCAGCTGCAACCCATGCCCTCGGGAAAGCCCGACTCTCCTGCTCCTCAACCCCAAGCAAGCCACGCAGGGCTCACTGCAGCGACCAGACCTGCCAGGCCGAGGACGCGCTGCTCAGCGGCCTCCCCACCGCATGGCTCCTCACCCCCCAGTGATGACGCTGCGCGTCAGCAGCTCGCTTGGTCATGCCCAACGACCCTGAGCATCGCTGATCATCAGTGTTGCTTATGCTTCAGCCAGCAAGTGCAGTTGTGCAACGTGGGATTTTAAAATATAAATAAGATCATAGAAATTACTGGAAGCAACTGACACTGATATGAAACCTTGCACAAGACAGAAAGCCCTAATTATAGTTTCTGAACCTATGAAGTCATCTAATACACATATGTTCCTCTACACTGCAAGGAGGAAAAAAAGAAGATATGCAGTACTTATTACCATCCCCGTAAGGAGGAAAGAAAACCAGACTTTGGAAGTTTTTGGAAACTCGTAATTTAGAAAAATCTGCATAAACCCAGAAAATCAGCTCTTTAGTTACCAAAAAAAGGCAGTACAAAAATCATAAGCACTTTGGGTTTAATTCTAAAAGCAATATTGTCTGTTCATTCCACAGTGCCATGTAGCATTGCAAGCCTCAACATAAAAATGTTCATTTTTATGTATTTTCTGGATCAAAGCTACTTAACATAAATCTGAAAATACTTGGTATTTCTCCTAAATGCCAAAACTGAGGAATCTACTTCACATAGTGAAGGAAGATGGCACGCTTACTGGCTCATGTGTCATCAAAAAATGAATACCATAATCAGAAAACAATTCAAGAACAAAATCAGGCTTCGTCTTTCTCTTCTAGCACAGTACACCCTGTGCAAAATCAACAGCAGTGAGAAGTACTAACAATCTTCATTCAGATGCGAAGGACACGGCTGCAACCCTAAATACGCAGTAGGGGGAAAATACTGAGAAAGAAAACGCTGGTTTTACATAATCATTACTTAGACCAGAGCTGCCCTCTCCAATACATCCTAGACAGGGCAGAGCCTATTGATAATGACAGAATACTGCATTGAAATAATTATGGGGGAAGGACTTTAAAATATTTCAATCACATTTGGCTATAAATTGTTTTAAGTTTTACATCATTTTGCAGTTCTGTGATAAAAAGCCCTCTTACTTGCTTGAGACAAGATTTCAGAAAGCTTTAGACAGAGCAGATTTTCTTAAATTAGCTTGAAAATTCAGTTTCCAGGGCAACATACGCAGGTCTTCATACATCAACATTTCTTTGCACCATTTTTATAAATGTGGTTGCCTGCAAGAATGTCATAAAATACTTTTTAAATACAGTAAACTATTTTGATCAGTTTGATCCTTTTTGCCTTTGAAAAAAAGCTGACTGTCCCTTCTTTTCAGAAGAATCACATCAATAAAACTGTCAAATTGTTTTACTTCAGAGAGGCTTTATCCCAGAAATGCCTGCAGTGACACCCATGCGTGTAATACATTTCTACCAGCACCTGAATGTTTGTGTAACGTTTCAGTATGCATCCCTTATTCATCATCCCTTTTCTCACTTAAAGTTTGCAAGTGGAATACACAACTTAGGTGTATGGCACACTGAGAGTCTGCTGGCTTATACGCAGAATTAACCTGAGCGCCTGTTTCACAGCAGCAGTGTGAAATTTGCTGGTCGCCCACCTTGCACATCGAGACCCTGAGTGAGTTTCACACACCTACCGATACATACAAGTGTTATAAAAGAAACAAAGCTAACAACACATCTGTTTTCTCCTCCATTCTGCAAGGGGGATAAAAAATAAACCCTTAATTATCATTTCCCCTCAGCGAGCACTTTAGAGGTGCTCTGCATCCCTGCAGCGACATTAGTGAAACCGGTACCTGGAACCATCAGCGGCCGAGTGGATACATTTCCTTCTTTGATTTTAACAGGGGTCAGATCAGACCCTTGCCAGGCGGTGTTATGGTGGGGCAGGCAGCATGTTAAATAGTTACAACATTAGGACCCCGTCTTAGGAAAAGAAGACTGAATGACTGTTACCTGCACATTTTACTCCCTGAGCAATGAGGCCCCACATAAAGTTGGCGCAGTATTCACACCAGTGCGGACCCCTGAACGTGTGCACCTGGAAGACAGTAGCAGAAAGGAAAATTACAGCAAATGACCCAACTATTTCACAGACATCAACATCAATGTGTCAAAAGAAGGCAGGACTCCTCTTCTTCGAAGGCACCGCATGCAGTTGCTGGGATCTTCCCTTTTATCGCCACAGGAAAGGAAGAAAGAAACGTAAGCAAGATTTAACTGCCAAGACTTACAGGCCTATGGGAAATTGGTGCTCTCCATCTCCAGCCATCTGGAGCAGCAGATCCTGGTCTGGGGGGGGGCGGGTCTGTCCCCAGACCAGGTCGGGCAGAGGAGCAATAGCAGGTCGCAGCCCTTCTCCCGCCTCCTGGCATCCCTCCATCTGGGCAGGATTTTATCCACAAGGTGAGGCTTTTGCAGTGACCGTGCAAGAGTTCACCCCTCAATTTAAAATGTCTTCTGCTTTGCCCTCCCCTCCATAAGGTACTGTGTGAAACGTGTAGGGGGCTGCAAGATTTCGCCTCAGGCAGAGGGAGTCCTGCCAGGCAAAAATACCAGTGCTACACAGAAATATTGCAAACGCACTTAAGGGCTTTCCAGTTTAGAATAACTCTAAAAGGAAATTATTCTCTTCAGACTAATGCTACATATTGAAAATCCAAATGAATGTAGTAAATGGAAACAAGAATCCACTGAACCAGGAAAAAAAATCAAAGCTAAGGAAGAAAAAAACCAATGCTGCTTTCAATCCCGGCTCACATGCATGTTACAAATCCTGCAGCCACCATTAGCTGCTTCTGATTTTATTCTGATAAAGTTCCTGCTGTAGGAAACCACAGGATTCTTTGCAGAGAAAGTCATTACTTCTTTAGCCAGCGTAAAAGGCTTCGAGCCTCTATATAAAATAGACAGGCTGACAAAAAAAAAATCAGTAACTGGTGATCATAAAGAAATTAAATTTGTGTGAAATGTAATAAAAACGCTTTAGGCTTAAGTGACTCGGTTCTGCAGTTACTGAGCGGGTACCAGAGCAGGCAGCAACCTCACAGTCGTGCAGTGCCCCGTCAGATCAGCGTGGAGCAGAAGAGAGGAGGAGCTGGACGAAATGCGTGTGCCATCCTAGCAGGGCTCTGGTGATGAACAGCAAAATGCAAAGTGGCCTGATGGAGGTGGCGAGCATCCCCTGCGCCACTGATTGAGCCAGCAGCTGGATCGCGGGTGACACTTACCTCAAACAAGTGACAACCCAGAGCAGCACCCAGCAATTCAGACCAGGTTTCAGTTTTGGCTATGGAAAGGTCTGCAGCCTCCTGGCTGGCGCTTGCTGCTCGCGCCGCAGCAGTAAGGTAGATTGCTGTGTTAGTCTGGAAAATCACTCTTGAAATCACCTTGTAATTCAGGCGCGCGCCTGTGCTAAAGCTAGGCTTATAATCGCCTCTAGCCCTCTGCTGCTGAGCATCTCTGGAGGAGGTGCAATGGAGGCACGCTGCCTCCCCCCAGCCATGCCAGGTGCTGTCCGCACCCGCTCCCACGCGCCCTTCCAAGGTGCGATGTGTCCATGAGCCCCCTTCTCCCTACAGCTCCAGCTGACTGCTACAAAGCAAACGATGACAAGGCTGCCAGCAGCTGTAATCTCCATTTTCTTTTTTCCCTCTCACCACAAAGAGATTTTTCACACCTTCCCCTCCGTTACCCACCTGCACTACCCACATCCTCTTGGCTTTCTTCCTCAGCCTTGTGTTTTTTTCCAGGTCTTTGGCAGCTTCTCCTTCCCAGAATAAGCACATTCTAATATTCTCAAGCAAAACGCTGTGCTTTAATGCCTGCAGGACTAACGGAACTTTTTTTTTTTCAGAGGGGAAAAAAAAAAGCTTCCCTTCAGCCACCACCTTTTTTTTTTTTTGTCAAAGGAACATTCCCCCCAACCCCCCTATTTAAAATATTTGTCAAAATTTCTGCTGAGGAAAAATAGGGGGGTGGCAAGGGGAGGGAAGACAGTTCAAATGTTTGAGCAAAAAATAATCTTTTTCCAGATTCCCTTTTGGTCTTGTAAGAAATTTTTTTTTTTTCAGTATTTCTGACTGTAAAGGAGTGGAAATCTTGTCTTGTTCCTTGAAACGCTGACATTTAAACTTCTTTCTTTAGGCAGAACAAGAACAAATTCTGACACATTAATATTTCTTGCTAAATAAAAAAGAACGATACTATCCTGTGCTTCTCCACTTGCTGGTTTCAATTCATCAAATTCACTGAACGTGCCCTTTGCTGAAGTGTTTCTAACGCTTTCCCTGGATTGTGGGGTCCTGCCCTGGCTTCTCCAGAGCCGTCTCCAGGGCTGATACTCACCAAACCTCAGGTGCCCAATCGCTAACTGGCTGTTGTTTTAGTGGTGAACATCCCTCCTTCTTGGCATCTTGCTCTTCATCATGGTCTGCCTGCATGCTTCCACCTCCTCCTGACTCTCCCCAGGAACTCTCCTGCAGGGTCTGCCACACCTAAAGGTCCCTTCCAAGCCAAAACATTCTATGATTCTATAATCCCAAATCTGCCACTCCAACCTTTGACTCTCTTCATTTTTATTTTTTTATTATTATTTTTTTTATGAGCTCGGTTTCTCTTATGTTTCTATAACAATTATCCACCTAGATACAAAAAAATTACCTTTCTACTAGGGCCAATTCCCCTGACATTATCCTGGCTCTCAGCTCACCTCTCAGAGAAGTTTACATGACTCATCAACTTAAGAATGACAAGGACAAAACAGACTTTCCTCTTCCCTACCAACACTGCATGCATTGGTCACCCTTCACAAGATCAAGATTGATTTTGCCCTTCGGGGTCATTGTCTCAGCATCATTAGCACTGTTCTCTCGTCCCATGCATCTGTGCTTCATCCAAATACTGAAATGCCTTTCCATATCATCAGTTAAGAAATTAACTTCTCTGCTGGAAGATTTATCCAGAGCCTGCTCAGCTTTACACTGCCCCATCCAAATTACTCTTTCTTATCCAGTGTTCTGATTGCAAACTCAAAACAAATTAAAAGCAGAGGGTAGGTTTTTCTATGTTCCATAATGCTCTACCTTGCTTTGTCCTTCATCTGACATGCAGTGGGGAGGTTCTCTGGCAATATTAATTAGGAGGCCCAAAGGCCGTAATGTCCTACCGCCCCCAGTGCACACCACCCTGCAGGAAGCCTCTTTTGGGGTTTCTAAGTGGTGCTGTCCTTTCCCAGAACTCAGTGGTGCTGGAGCGTTAAATCTTCCCACTACCACAGAGCGGGACTGGACGTCTAACCCTGCGCTGGTCTGAATACACACCATCTCTGGAAATGAAATCAGACACAGTAAGCGATGCCAGAAAATAGCGAAAAATTGGTCTTCTGAGGTCAGGACAGCCTCTAATCCTGTCTCAACCTGTGGAGCGGGACCTGGCAGCATGCTAAGAAGAAACACGTTTGCATCCTTTTGCTAGTTCAGGAGCCAGCACCTGCGAACAATACTGCATATTTTACATGACATTGTTTAATATAGCATTCTGATTTTTATATTTAATTCCCCATTCTAAAAATCTGCCAAGCGACTTGCTTGTTTTCAAAACTAAAACGTGCTTTCCAGAAAAATTTCTGAAAACACACCCAGCAGAATCCCAGAGATCCTGACTTAAATTACAAGGGGTTTCTTTCCCCTTATAAAAAGAGCATCTGCCATATGCAGATTTTACTGTCTTATAAAATGTGAGAGAGCAGGATTGCCAACTGTGGCTTTATATCTCCCAACCCTTCCATTCTCACTCCCGCCCCAAGAATCTCTTTCTCTCTCTTTCCATAAGGCTTCAACTGTGAGTGATTTTTTTTAAGAACATGGAAAAAGGGTGAGTGGGAGAGCAAGACAAACTGGTTTTAATTTTAATTTGTAAAATCCCAGGGGAAATGTTCAATTTAAAAGAAAAATCTAGATAATTTTAAAGGAAAACACCCGCTTAAAAAAACTATATAAAATCCTATTACTAAGCTGTCCTGTGAATCTGAGCTAAGAGGAGAGCCTGATGTTGAGCTTACACCTAGGTATTTCTATTTTGATCTCTCCCACAACACCTGCAAGGTATAATAAACATTTAACTACTGTGATCTTACGTAGGAGGACAGTTTTTTGCTTAGGCTTGAAAGACATTTTCTTATACACAGGGAAAAATAAATACCTTAGCTCCTGTGATTAATAACTATAAAAGTTAGAGGATTTAGGTTGGGTTTTTTTTTTTCGTTTAATGAAAACATTCTTAGAAAAAGAAACAAAGTTTGAGGAGAATCAAATAAAAAATGATCCGGTGGCTCTGACAACTGATTTTACCACAAGCTGCGAACTCCTCAAGCAGATCTTCCACCATCACTTCTCTGGCTCCATAAAGGTCACTGTTGAAGCTAGTTACCCACGTTATCTTGTAACTCCACTTATTTCTTATGCTTTTGGTTTTCACTAGGCAGTTGTTCAGCTAGCCTTGATTGCTATCTGAAAACCACGCATGAGCCAGCAGACAATTAGTATTCGTAACTGGGAGACTTACATTGTACCACTTGTCAAGGCAGGGAGGAAAAGAATGAGGAAATATCAGCAACGTGCTGTGCAAACATGATGTGAAAGAACACAGTGGATCAGCAGAGCTTTAGCAAAGCCACTCCTGGGAAGAAGGCAAAGCTGGATCTGACAAACTATGGATATGCAAAATTGACACCAAACAGAGAAAACAAAATTTTTTGTGACAGTGTACAAAAAAGCCTTCCCTGTTGAGAGGCTGCTGCCATGGTCTCACCAAATGCCCGCTCCATCTGGACCCATGCTCTGTATAGAGCAGCATTGCTTCTTCCATGGCCCTCCATGCTGAACTGCTGGTAAGAATAATGGGGTTTGGAAAATTCAGGCACTACCATCTGTGTTGGGATGAAATACATCAACTTGAAAAAGGATGGAAAAAGCCATTACTGATCCGGCTCTCTGGATCATAGCTCTCCAGCTACCAGAGTCCTAGGCTCTGGGTGGAAGC